ATTTTTTATATATCATCTGGGCATGTCTTAATTTATTTAATAAGATTTGTTTATATCATAGCTATCGTTTTAACCTCAAACAACATACAGTATATGATGCATCATAAAATGAGATAATCTCTGATGTAAAATCATTTATCTTTACGTTTTCTTTTGTACTTCACATATATTTAATCGTGTAAAATAATAAACATTGAAACCAAACCCGCCACCTTATTTGGGGCGCAAAAATAGAAACATTGAATATTATGACATTCTACGGGAAGAATTAAATGGCGCAGGTAATGCGAATATTTGGCAGGGACGAATTTTGATACAATTTGGAAAATAAATGCTCGGATATTCCATTCATTTTATTGATCTTTCACGAATTAATTAAGTGCTAAATACCTATATAGAATCTCGATAGATGTCACATAATTCACCTACCCGAATCGCTTTTCACAATCATCCTATATAGAAGTAATTTCAGAATCAAAACTTGGTGAAAGAGGAAGGAACCGAAAGCATAAAAGCTTTTTTATAGGTATAGCAAAAGTTTCACAGATTAGATTTATCCCAGCAAGGATTTACCTTTAATCTACTGTAAATCAAGATAATATTTGATCATAGACATTTTGGTAATATAATGTTTATCCTATATAATTTCATAAATAATAAATTTCTTCTACCATAATAAGATCTAATTCTTGATTATCAAATGTATCTTAAAATGATCCAGTTTCTTTATACAAATTGTATCTCATACTCGCTTACTGTTCGAGAAAACTACAAGGTATGTACTGTATATTCTTTTGGTGAGCCATTTCATAAAATTAAATCACGCATTACAATTAGTAACACGGATCACTTTCGCCAAAAAAAATTAATTAAGATATTACTACGCCAATAACATAAATGTCATGTCCGAACTAAATTACAGTATGAAATCGGTATGCTAGCCACTATGTGACTGCCTTCGGCATTTTTTTTTGATATATAGTGTCATGGCTATCCGGCAAGCCCACACTGCTTCTCGCTTCTTTGGGTTCACAATAAGATAAGTTTCCCTAACTCTTGAGGCGTGTTTCCGATTTGGCCATTCTCTATATAAAATAATTATTAGATTGTAATATATGAAGAAGTAATCTGAATTTGGATATAATTTTTTTATTATGTTATTGCTTATATAATAAATCAGTCAAAAATGTTTATAATTAATATTTGAAATTTATTATTCTAATTATTTTTTAAATTCATAATTTCAGTATCATAATCAAATTTTAAATTATTTATTTGTGTATGAATTTGTGCATTATAAAAATTTTTTTAAATTATTTATTTTAGCATTATTATGGTTATTTTAATTTTTAATTTGATATCATAATTATATTTAATATTTTTATTCCTGCATTAAAATTGTTATTTATATTTTTAAAATCTATTTTTAAACTTCTTATGCATGTTGAATTATAATATCATATGTTTATAAATTAATAAAAACATGAACTATCAAATTGTAAATTTATTTTTTTATTTATTAAGAAAAGATTTTTAATACAAAAAAAATATAATTTTTTTGTTGACAATATATTTTCAAATGTATCAGCTGTGATTTTTTTAAAAAAGGAGACTTAAAAAAATAATCAAGGGAATGTTTTATGTATTTATATATTTTATTTTTAATTATTTTTTGTTTAAATTGTTTTTTTTAATTTTTATTTTAATTATTTCTTTGTTTTATTTTTATTTATAAACTTTATTTCTTTTTAATCATAAACTTTATTTCTTTTTAATCATAAACTTTATTTCTTTTTAATCATAAACTTTATTTCCTTTTGTTTTTATTTCTTTGATTGTTTCATTATAAAATTTTGATTTTTTTTAATTGAATGTTTCTGTAAATATCAATCTAGTTTTTATTAAATGCAAAAACGGAATCTTAATTTTGTTTCTAAATATTAACACAATAATATATATTAGTGTAATATGGAAATATCACTACAAATTCGTCTGCACGAGTGCTGCACAGTTAACGCATGGGCTGTTATTTATATTAAATAGTTTTTGATCATAAGTTTCCCTAATAACCTCTCTTATATAATTTCGGACGTAATGAACCCCAGTTAACTTTGCTCTATTATTACACCCCTTATAATATAGATGTAATGAAGATACAATGAAGGTCAATGTAGGTGCGATATGGCCACGATAAACTTTTTTTCATATATAATCGTGTGGAAAATAAGCATACGTCTCTAAACTATTTGGCTGTCAGTTTTTTTGTGATATGGACTGACGATCAACTGCGCTTATTAGTCGACGAAAGAAGAAACCGAAATATTATGTATTATAATATCCCTGGCAGTAGTAAGGTGGGTTAATAGTAGGATTAAAAATCTTGTAAGAGATCACACCGTAAGTGTTTATTTCATGTCCATATACCAAGTAAATACATTTTCTAATAGCATATATAATGAAAATTTACTCAAGAGAAACAGAATTAGTGAGCGATATTTTGAGGAATTACGTTCTCGTTTTTTGGAGATCATGAAAGTTCACCGAATATGTTATGATCTATTAATAGCAATATACTACTTTGTAGAATAGCTCAAACACATCTGCCAGTATAAGACACCGTAACCGTACCCTACCACCAACTTACTATGAAGTGTCATCAATGCTAAGTGCGAGTCGTCGTGAATCTACTACCGATCAAAGAGATCGATCTGCATCACCCACCCAGCCGAAGGGATAGGAATGTTAACCGAGATAATGCAAGATTGTAAGTAATTCGGGAATATTTCAGGCAATAACACAAATAATGAGTGGAAATTGTAAAATATTACCCACCACCAAAATCTATTTGTATCACAAAATGACAGTGTGCGCGATGCAGGATCAACCGTGGGAATCCATAAATGAGGAGGAAAGATAAAAGTCTGCCTGGTAAGAAGTGGAGCTGGTGCATTACTTTCATGAAAGATTCTTTTTTTTTTCTTATTCAACCGGGGATGTTTTTTTTTTGTTTGCGCTTCTGCCTTAATTCTTTAACCTTACATAAGTTCGCCGTCTTCATGTTTATCCAGATCAAATACATAAATTCTCCTTTACATGGATAACTGTTAATAGCCATAGATACATTTTTACTTAGAAGCATTAATAATTATTAAAACATTGATAAAGCTATGCCCGATTGGCCGTTTATTTTTTGTTTGAATTTATTTTTTTTTCGACAATTTTGGCATTACACAATCAGATTTTTCTTGGTGAAAGATAATTTGTAGAATAAATGAAGTTACTTACACCTATAAAAACAAAAAAAAAAGATTATAATCCAACCATATCTTGCTGATACGTAATTTCATAATATTTCAATTCCTTCCCCACTTTCTCCTCCACCTCTAAAAAAACACCGTCGTTATTCATCTTTACGGCAACGACCTTAACATAGAGTTCATCTTCAAGTTTAATTTTATGGTCCATAAGATATGAAGCTTTGGTCATTAAAGAACGAATTTTCTGAATTTAAGAAGAGTCAGTAAAGCCTTCACAAAAAACCAATTACGTCATAAATAAATTAAATACCTTTTTTGATAGCTTTTTATAATTCTTATTTCCCTTGTTTTTTTTCTTTGGGAAATCATCCACATAATCAAGCCATTTCGGAAATTTCACATCTTTATTTACATATTCAGACGGACTATAAAAAGAGATGGATTAATTTCTACTTGCGATTTCGTTTTACATTGAGAACAACAAGATGCCAACTTACGCATTAGCAATAAATTCTTGGAACATAGCGCGAAAACCTTTCTCGTCTGCAGTTTTATCAATTCATTCCCCGGACAACTTGATTCTTTCTTCCTCTTCATCGAATGCTCTAGTAAGGGACACGTTAGCAAAGCGATCAAAGAAACAAAGTTTTGTAAATAACTTACTTGTTTGGATCAAAACCTCTAACTTTACATTTTTCTGGGTCCAAATAAGTACCCCCATATATAGTAGTAGTCAAACAAGCTTTATATTCTTCATATGCATTTTGAGAATCTCTATAAATGTCGCCAATATCTAGTGCAGACCATAGGAATATATAAATAACTTAGCAAAGTAATAAAAAATTTACAAAAAAAAAAAAAATCCAATAAATTTCTTTCACGTGATTTCATTTTCGCGTTACGTAAATAATGTATACTGTACTACGACTTTCGTATATCGGATTTCGTCATCTCTGAAAACTTGCTCAGCATGGCTAACACATATGAATTCCTTATGTACTTAGTATGGAAATTGGATCATTCAGTACGACCTAGGCGCAACAGCAATAAGGGCTTCGTTTGGTTTAAGTGCCAGCAAATATAGAGAAGTCGTATTCGTACTTATAACTGCAGGATTTTTTCGAATTCAGTATAGCATATTCCGCCACAGATGTGGTTGTAGTCTTCAGCATGCAATAAATACCGTGAATTTAATCAGAAGATTTGAGTGGGCGAGTGGAACCTCTCCAAATGGGGCTTCTCATATAAGGAGCGTAATAATTTCCATTCAGATTATGCCGTACATGGATGTGACAAATTTCGTTCGTGGAGGTCGCCTACCGAATATTCCACGTTTTTAATTTGCAATACAAATTGTAATAATATATAATTATTACATGTCTTACTATATTTTCAAATTCTTCAATGTCATGACAACCATTAGTTATTACTGCAGTAATAAAACTTATTAAGTCCGTAACTGTTAATTTGATTTCATACGAATTCGACTTATCCACAAGTAAGGGTTATGATTTATCATATCGTAATTTCGATTCAAATATTCATCATTAAAAGTATATAAAAGTGTACAAGGCATTTAAAGTTTTAAATCTATTCAATAAGACCCAATTCTCTAAGATGCTCTGAAATAACCATATATGGGCCTTCGTAATACCAAACTGATCCCGCCCTTGTTAATAAAATTATTGGGATTTCCTTTATATGAAAGAATTCGATATACTTTTCGTGTTGTACCCCTTTGATTTCTATAGTCAGACCAATCCCAATCCTATTGGATGTTCTAATGTTTGAGAAAATTAAGTCTGTATTTCAGCACAATTTTGCAACATAAATTTTTACGTTTATATTTACTGCAATGTGGACATCACGTATTTTTATTTTTTACAGCAGAGAAACGGGAAATCCATTCACGACCTGCATCACAACGCCATGATAATGGAAAATTACGATAATATATTTTTAAGAAATACAAAAACCAACTTTTTTAGTTGCATCTTCAAGAATGAATTCTGCATTACCTGTGCAATATGATACCAAGTTTATGACTTTTTATACTATTGAGACGATTCTATTCATGTTCCACAGCACAGTGCCAGAATAATAGTGACTCACTATAATAAAATTTCCTGAAATACATTTTCCATTTTTATCAAGTGTGACTTTTATAGCATCTTCAAGAGTACAAGGCCTTCTATGCGAACATTTTATGCACCAATTTTTACCGCGTAAAACTTTGATATACGTGTAATTTACAGATCACTTAATTAGATAGAAAGAAATAATCCTCCTCTATATATAGGCAATTTCAAGATGAAATGGATGCCGAGCTTCACAAACAGGCACCAAGTATTTTATTCTATCAAATGGAGCATTCCATTTATGATCTTTAAAACATTTCCATATTGTTGACGTTAAATCGACGAGTCTGTCACTGATGACAGGTCAAACCCATGTAATGTCAGAGTAGGTTATTTTTCTTTCTCTACCCGAGATGTGGATTTGACTTAGCCAACCTTAAAATTATTATTAACTCTCTTCTTTCTTTTGTCATGGTTCAAGTCACGGTTCTCTTTAGTGGCTTCCGGAATAATCCTTTTGTGGAAACCTTACTCTTAGAAAGATAAGTTTATTAATAACTTCCTTTTTAGGCATGTCTATTACACCACCAATTATAATAATTTTTAATTAATACTCACATGACTATTTTGCACTCCCTTTTCTAGAAAAAAAAATGTTAATTAAGTTTATTATGGCTAAAGTTTAAGTTAGAGTTGTCTAGTTGTCATGTTGTTTCTTTTTTTGCACTTTCTTACTTCTATTTATATCACTATCACAATCTTTAACTAATAGGCTATAAAACTATATTGCTATGACTTATAAACTATTATGTTATAAAATAAATTATCTAAGCTTTTTATTAAGTCATTAGACTATTTGCTAAAACATTTCCATTGCTCCAATTGAACATGTTCCATAAACATTGCATCATCAGATCTTATCCAAGCATTTTTCTTACTTTCAATATCAAAGATATAAAATATTAATATATATATCTGAAAAACACAAATAATTATAGGTTCTGACAATCTTTTATATATTATTTAAGATTTTTTTTTATTGCATTGAAGATTAGTAAAGTTCCATATACATGTAGAATTTAAAATCAATTGATAATTTATAAAATTAAAGATTGTTTGATTAATAACAAAAAACAATATTTTATTGTTAGAAAGATAAAATAGTTACAATATTTGAAAGTAATATTGGTCATTCCATGTATAAACATAGTGATACATCAATCTTCTCCTTTCAATAGTGGTTAGAACCCTATCTAGAATATTTCAATCTGATATAGAGCTTAATTGGTTTGAAAAATAATTAGCCATAAGTGTTAAGAAGGATTATAATTTCACAGAGAAGTCATAGACCAGCAGGGATGTAATCTGAGATCTGGCAATAAGATAAAGAAATTCTTGAACTAATCTCCTTAATCAAGTCACCTTTGGATAAAGCGGAACTATATAAGTTAGGTAGTTTAAACTAGTGATAGGATTTTTACACCCTATAGGTTCTTGCCTAGTGTAACAAATTCTGCCTATGTTATTGGTAAATACTTATTAAATATCTTTTATAGTCTTTTTACTACTTAATAGCATA